TCCCTGAACACTGCTTGTGGGTACAGCAATCTTCAATTTCTGTTTTGTGGCCCTGTTATTTTTCTAGATGATGATTTGTCCGTGCCATTGTTTCTGACAATGTGTGTCGGCAGTCAGTATGATCTCTTATTAAAAGAGAACTTATTAAAAAATTCCGAGAGTGTCATACCCTGTAGCTTTAAAGATCAACACCATTCGCAGCTTCCTGGCATGTTTTGTTGCAGCGCTAGGCTTTCCACGAGCAGACCATGTAATTGGATCGTGTAGCATTATGTGACTTGAGAACTACTGAAGCTATCATGATGAAACTGCATATTTCCCTATTCTAAACACTTATGAGTATGCATGCCAAATTTCATTGCTGTAGGTCAACAAATAAAAAAGTTTTTTTTCAAAGCCACCTCCCCCCTTAAGGGGAGACGCGGGTCGAAAAGTCGCGTTTTTTTTCCAAATTTCACCTTTTCTGTTTTTTGTTGCTTTATCATCTTTATACATTATATTTTGACATCTGAAAATATCACAGCGAAATAAGCATCAGAAGTCAGTGAAAAACGCGTCTGAGTGAGCGGCAGTGACGCGCGGCATCACGAAATTTACACAAAACGGGCTGCTGTTCGCGTGCTCGCGGGGCCGCGAAGAGAGCTGTCCGCCATATTGCGGCCGCTGGCTCGTGTAGAGTTGTCCTTACTCTCCACGATCCCGGTTCTTGAAGTCTCGTACGTTCACGAAAAATCTAAAAAAAAAGCAACAAAAACAGTCTTTTCCCGCCGTTTCAAACCGCGCGCCACTAACGCAGGGCCGCCATTGGCTGACAGCACCCGTGTTTTCTTGCCGTAGTTCGCTTCACTGTTTTCCGGAGTTATTTTTCGCTGTTTTCGTGCGATGGCAAGCCCGAAAAAGGCCGTTGCCGACCATCGGAAATACAGAAGTAAGAACAAGTTCAGAGGGAAGCGGCGGAGGACGTACAAGAAAGCCACCGCCAACGAAAATGTCCGCGACGGGCCAGCGGCCGGTAGGCCTAACATCGACCACGGCAACGTCGACCATGGCAACTGCGACGACGAGATCAACGCTGCAGTGAATTTTGTGAGTGCATCGCAGAAAAAGATCGCGTTATTCGAAAACGACGTCAGGCCGAATGCCGATCGTGCCGAAAGCGTAGTGCTGTGCGAGTTGGGTGCATTGACGGCCGTCGTCGCAGGCGCGGCATGCCCCGTTTGTCACGAGAGTAAACTCGCAGTTCGGGCACCGAATAAAAAGCGGAAAGGCCTTTCGGCGTTTCTGGAGCTACACTGCGAGAATGCGGAGTGCTCGGAGAGCATCCTTTCGTCCGCGTACTCGTCGAAGCGGGTCGCGTCAGATGGCGGCCGCGGTGCAAGCAGAAGCTACGACAGCGGGAGTTCGCGTGACGCCTTTGCCGTGAACCTGAAAGTGGTGCTTGCAGCGCGTGCCGTCGGTATCGGGCATGAGCAACTTTCACGATTTTGTGCAGTAGTTGGATTGCCAAACCCTATGCACCATAAGACCTTCCATGCTATCGGCAAAAAGATTCACAGTGCGGCAGTGAAGGCTGTCTGTGAAAACATGCAAAGGGCACGCAGCGTCACCAAAGAGGTGGCTGGTAACAGTGACGTGCCAGTCATGTTTGACGGCACATGGCAAAAAAGAGGCCACAAAAGCCACAATGGTGTGGGAACTGTAGTGTCCTTGGACACTGGTTTGTGCCTGGACTATGAAGTGCTTTCCAACTTCTGCCTGGCGTGCAGTTTGCATAACGACATGGGAGGCGATGAAGAAACATGGCAGGCGTTTCATCATCCCGTTTGTGAGAAGAATTGCGACTGTTCTTCGCATGCCACGGAGGCCGAAGCTGCAGTGCGCATTTGGCAGAGGACTGTGGACTATGAGACACCCCTGCGGTTCACCATCTTCCTAAGCGATGGAGACAGCAAGGCCTACAACGGGGTCTGTGATGCCAACGTGTACCCTGACACTCCAATTGAAAAAGAGGAGTGCACCAACCACGTGGCGAAACGTCTGGGCACCGGCCTGCGGAAGCTGCCAACGCCACTTCCACGAGGGGAGAAGCTGAAGGAGACCACCATCCAGAAGCTTCAAACTTACTTTCAGGTGGCCATTGTGAACAATCGGGGAAATGTCCACAAGATGTACACTGCCATATGGGCCTCATGTTTGCACTCGTGCTCAACAGACGGTGCTGGAAGTCACAAGTTCTGTCCTGCAGGCCCAGACTCGTGGTGCAAGCACCGACGTGCTGAGGCGCAGGGCCAGCCTGCACCGTGCCACACCCCCCTCCTGACCAAGGCCCAGGGTTTGGCAGTCCTCCCAATCTACAAGCGTCTCACAGATGCGAAGCTGCTTGCCCGGTGCCTCCACGGCAAGACACAGAACGCGGCCGAGTCCCTGAACAGCAAAATATGGCTGCTGTGTCCAAAGACCCGGTTTGCTTCCCGGACTGCTGTGGAAACAGCCACAGCCATTGCAGTCCTGTGGTTCAACCGGGGCCACGCGAGCTTTGAAAAGGTGCTGGAAGAGCTTGGGGTGCTTCCTTCGGAGGCCCTGGTTACCCTCAGCGACCGCCGAGACAGCATGCGCATGCACAAGATGAATGTGCGTCAGACCGCTGAGGCGAGGGCACACCGTCGCAGTGCAGCCAAGAGGGCCCGGGTGGAAGAGTCCTGCCGCACCAGCCGGGAAGGGAAAACCTACGGTGCTGGAGAGTTTTAGACAACTGATATTCCCTCTGGACATGTGTGTATGTGTTCAGCACAAGTTTCGTGCTACTGCGTTTTTCATTTTTGTAAATACAGACTTTCAAACTTTCAAACGCGTTTTTCTCATTTCGCAATTTTGGCCAATTTGCATTTTTTGCGGGAAGTGTTTCGGGCACTTAGAATGGTCATACGACGACGAAATTTGGCACACACATTGAGGAGAGTGCGTAGGGTGCCGATATCTACTTGAATCAGCACAACCTATCAGCTGTAAATATCTATTAATAAATTTAATGGTGGTCGAGTGGAAAAAAAGGGTAGTTTGCTACACAGATGTTTTTTTCATAGTTTCAAAGTTGGAGCACAATTTCTAGCTAGATATCGGCACTCTATGGCTAATAGGGAGCAAAAGGAGCCATTGAACAACTCTCTGCATGAACATTTAGTATGCGCGAAAGTTCCCGGAAAACTTATCAAGTTTCACCATTACTTGAAACACAACTCCCAAACTATTGCACTTATGTAAAAACTGATTACAGATTTGGAATCAGGAGGAAAAACTGCATCAGTGGTCCAATTTCTGAAGCTCTAAGTTGAATAACAAAAAAAAAGTGCTTTCGAGGAGCGTCTCCCCTTAAGCGTTTGGCGAATTCAATTAATTTTTTCCTACAATAACGTGTAGATGGCGAGAAGTCCTCACCAATCGAAAAGTCGGTACCCTTTAGTTTATGCGCGGCAGAAAGAACTTTTTGTTTGATTTTAAAGGAACTCATTTTAGCTATGATTGGCCGCTGCTTATCAGTCTTGTACTTTCCTAGTCTATGTACCCGTTCAAAGTGGTCGTTTGTTAGTGGGATGCCAAGTTTTTGAGAACAGAAAGTTGTTATTTTTTCCTCGGATGTTGCCCAATCTTCTTTGTTTTTGTCATCTATACCAAAAAAGAGCAGATTGTCCCGCCGTTGCCTGGTTTCCGCGTCATCACATCTCATCGTTATAGACTGTAGCCTATCAGTAATATTGCGCAAAGACTCATTAGGCACAGAACCGAGTACAGTGGAATCAACTGCATTCTTTGCGGTTTCCAAGGCAGTAACTCTTTCCGTCAATTGCTTAATCTGCTGGTCAGCCACATCTTGCCTTTCCCGAAAACTTTTCAATTCACTGAGTATTCTGGCCTGCCGGCAACCTCCAAAACTGTGGCGACCTCGTTTCCCAAGGTAGGCCCAGGGTTCATCTCGACATCGCCACCAACGATGAGCAACAGTTCAATAAGAGCATGGCACAGGCGTGCCGGAAGACAGCATGCTCGCCTCACAGAATCGAACAATGTCGCTGGGCACGACACCGCAATCAAAAAACGATTGTCGCTCTATAGACGTACATATGGTCATCCAAGACACATGCACGCGTGTCGGCACAGGTATTTATTGTATGGCAACTGACATCATTTGACTGAAACAAGAGACCAACGGGACTGCCTCATGGGGCTAGTTGCAAGCAGTGCGTCACCTAATCAGCTCATGCTCTCACGACCGCCACTGTCGTGCCGCTAGCTGTACCGTGCTAGAGCGTTCGCCAACAGGGTGTTCTTCGCACGGCTCTGCTCCAGACCACGCGAGTAGCTTTTATGGCCAACGTATTGAAATAAGCTTTATGCAATCAAAGCACACTTGATGTTTTCACGATACTCAAGGAAGGAGGGCTTCGCATGTCACCAAAACAAAAGCATTCAGTATGCTTAGAACAGTACTACTAGTATGCTTGTTGTACTATGCAAGCATTTGGCGTGGTAGATCAGTAGAGAGAGGTTTCTTAGTGCCTGCACCGCTCGACTCTGCAAAGGCGAACAGTCTTCATTTGTACAGTGACACGCTGAGTATAGCGATTTCGTCAAACAAATTTGAATAAAAAAGTTTGAATAGCATATGCATACCTGTCAAGTTGAAGGATTCTGAATCCGGGAGATTAATGCAATGGGGCGGGGGGTCACGCTGAATTACTGTAGACTCTCAGTAAAGGAAAATGCCCACTTTCATTTTATTTTTTCAAGTAGGATAATGATAAAATAAAGGTTGATGAAATCTGGCCACGAAAATTTCCAAGTTGGTGTGCAATGATGTCAAGAACACAAAAAAAACGTGCACGAAAACTCGATTTTTTTGGCCAAATTGTGGTCCCAAAGTGCCACATCCCCCCCTCCCCTCAATGCCCATGACACTCGGCTCACCAGCCTGAATAATAAATGCACGTCTCCTTTCTGCTCACCTGTCCTGGCGCATGCCAGTGCCGCTGTTGGTAACCTCCGGGCGCTCGTCCCCTACGCACCAGTTGATGGAGTACGGTTTGGTTTTCTCGGTGTCACGGGGCGGGTTGTGGCCGCTCACGCAGCCCAACGTCGGGTGGTGTAAAGAGTAGCGCGTCGGCAGTAGGGTGTCCAGCCCGGGCTCTCCTTCCAGACGGCAACACACCGCCCGAGACAGGTGCCCGTGGTGATACAGATTACCTGCGCAAAGAACACGTGTGCTTGCAAGGTTAAAGGGGGCCCACGAGGCCTTATTTACGATCATAATCAGTGTTTCGAGAGAAGATGATGGCTCCACTCCGTGCAGTACAAGAAGTCACAGAAGCCACAGCAATGTGAAGGTCGCCCGCAGCGGGCGGAGTTTATACAGCTGAACCCCTTCGTAAGAGGCACGCTCCTATCAGCAATTCTTGTCTTTTATACAAGATGTCTCTTATAAGCAGGGTACCTCGTATGCATTTTCTCATAAATCCATTTTACTGCGGGCACACTGGTGTCTCTTATACTCGTTTGTCTCTTATATAAGTGCCCCTTATAAAAGGGTTAACGGTAACCGGCGACATCTAGGGCTTTTACAGACCATTTTTCTACAGATCATTTTCTTCTACAGACCATTTTTCATGTATGCACAGGGATATATTGACCTCTACTTCCATTTTTCGCTGAAAACTGCAAATTGGTGGGTGACCCTGCCATAGCCCCTGCAAACACAATGCAAGTTTGCATAGTTAAGGCTGGTGCCGAACGTACCGTTAAAACCAGCGTATAATTCATATGTTTTTTTTTTCTAGTTTTTATGATGCAAAATGTCAGCCCTGTATTGTATGGAGGTCCCCAGAATTTTCATCCGAGAATTCACAGTCTGCACCATTGTGCGGCGCTTTCATTATCATCAAGCCTCTACTTCAAATGGTTTGGTAAATTCGATAAATAAGTTAATTAAAAAGGCTTGTTTTCTAAATTCCATTTCCATACTTGCACTTTACACACATACAGGTTTCTATAGCAAAAAAAATTATTGTTCTAACTGCCACAACTGCCGAGATATGGAGGCTACAAGATTGAACAGTCATAAATTCACATTTTGAGAAAAATGGCAAAAACAGATAACACACACTTTATACAAAAAAAAAAAACAATAAGAAAATGCATATTTGATACTAATATACACGAGGAACATAGTCTGACTGGTGCTTAGCACTGCGGTGGCGCTTCTCTAGTGCTTGCTGGAGCTTTTCACTCGAAGCACGCTCGCGGTTTGAGTCAGCCACTCGCCACCTGTCCTTCTCGGTCATTCATCTGATGCTTGGGAGGCTGGGGTTGAGATGGAGTTCGTCGAGGATGCCTATTGACGTTCTCAAGTTGCCGCCATTGAATTTCATTACTGCCTCTGCAACTGCAGCTTCAACCTCCTCTTCGCTTTGCTCCGGGGGAGCGGCGCCGGCCGGTGCGTCGTACTGTATGCGTCGTACTTGTTGTACACTTAACAAAGCATTGCTGCTTGGTTAAGTGCCGGCCGGTGCGTCGTTCCTCAATAACTCAAATTTCCTCTTCGATGCGGCTGTCGATGCCAGTTCCTGCAGCATCGAATTGGCCTTTGTATGCCTTACCTGCAGCTCCGATTCCGTTAGCAAGGTTGTGTCACGGCGGACGCGGCCGCTGCTTTGCGAACGGTCGGTGGCCGGCGGACCCACTAGGCCTAACTTCCCGTCGACTGTCTCGGACGCTTCGGCAATTCCCTCGCTGTCGGCCGACGAGATGGCGGTCGTGGAGTCTCGATGTGCGCAATGTTTATCTGCACGTCCCGATGCTGGATGCGCCAGCGATGCGTCAGGTTTAGGAACATCGCAGGCTGGCGAGACCGTCAAGCTTGCGTCGGAAACATCGGCGGGCAACCCATCCCATTCTTCGTTGACGCTACTCACCAAGAGGTGCGCTTTGAAGTTGTTCGCCTGAGCCTTTCTTCTTTTTTTACCGAACTTATGACGGGTGTGAAACTTTTGAGATGATCCCAGCATTGAAACAACTTCGATCGCGAGCACGCTGTCAAAGCACAGGCGTTACGGCGGCACAACACGTTGTTCGCACGTTGTTGACGCGTCGAGCAACAGATGTGAGTCTAATAAGCCAATGAAGCGGCTGCCTCATGGTCACGTGCACTCACAAACCAATAGCATCGCATACATTGCTTTTTTTTCTTGGTTGCTTTTTTTCAGCAGCCAATGAGCGCAGCAAGGTTGCTAGAGTGGGAATCAGAAGATGGAGAAACGCGCTTTTAAACAAAACCAAGATCGTGGCTATGGCATTCAGCAAACAGTAGCTCTGCGTCGCGAAAAATAGTGGTGTTTTTTCGCCAAATTCTGCGCTAATCGAGCTCACGAGTCCTTTTGTAATGATATAACAAGTGAATTATCACTTTCTAGAGCTTCAAAATTGGCAGGCCGGTGTAAAAATGCTTGCAGAATTCAAAAATGCCATTGAAAAGAAAAAGTTTTTTTCGCGATTTCTTGGTACAAAAGACCCGTCCGCCCCCTTAAAATTGAAATACAAAATCCATTCCACAAAAAAACTTTTGAAGTAGGCTCTAGGTTTGGCCTTCTTGCTCATGTTAAACGACACACAATCGTGTCTAGAGGGCTAAGCGTAGCGCATGCGGGGCCAACGGTGGAGGTGGACAACCAAGTGTAACAGAGGCGCTAAGCCTAGGCGTAACAGCACCTATTTTCAACTATTTTCAAATAGCCGAAATTTGCATGGTCTGAATATAGGGCCCACATGATTTAAGACGCCACATGTCGCATTTTTGGAGTCTGGCTGGCTACAAACTGCTGGTGGAACTTCTTGTGCAGCTTGTACGTTTCTGTTACGCCCCCGAGATGTGCTTACTGACGCTCGGGTGTGAATAATGGAGGTTCCCTAGATCGATCACACCTCTGAATCGCCACATAAGTGAGTTAAGTGGGCTAGTGTGGAACAAATGGAAATTTAACAGTGGCTTGCGGACCCCGAAGAGGGGCCTTAGGTTCTGCGGAATCCACTTTAAGAACCCCTGTGCAAGACCACAGCGGTGAGTGCAAACGAAGTCTGTTGATCCCTGTTTAACATAAAAAAAAATAAACACTCCATTTTGCGGTCCTCGGACCCTTCTCAAGCCATTGCACACATGAGGGCTTCGTTCCGTTTTCCGCCCATCCACCAAAAATGCTTCGGTCACCTACGCCAAAACTACTGCCCGGCAGCACAGTTGCTTGATGAGTGCCAAAATAGGGACCACATCATGAGGTCTCAAGTGCCAGAAGTGAGCTGCGGATGCCTGAAGCAGGCTTCGCTAGCAATGCTTTGCAGACGAACCACCGAAGCTTGGGTATGCATTCTTAAGGTGCTCGTTCATCGTACCCTCAAGAATTGTTCGATTGGGAGCACCCTTGATGGCAGTGAAGATGAGGTGCTACGGCAGGACACCTATGATGAGCTGCTATGGGAGCAGCATGTAGTTCTCACATTTTCGAACAGAGTAAAGTTCCATGAAACTCTGCGGGTGACCATCTTTTGATTGCTGTTTACAGTTGAATCACTTCGCGTAATAATTGTAAAATACTTTTTGTTTCACTGAAACCAAAAGTACTCGGCCATATTTGTGGTCACTTCATTTACGTGCAAATACGGTAAGTCTAAGACAAAGCCATTTCGAATGTGGCTGTGACAATTTGACCACTCGAGTCGAACAGAAATGCATGAACTCCATTTCTTGGACGATTTTGCAGTCCCTATGGTGTTTGAAAAATCGGATGTCGACATAAATTTACTTTCCAGAAATGCGACGAGCTCGAAAAGTACGATTCCTGTACGAATCGAATAGCAAACACAATTAAAAAAATACTCGAATATTCGCACTGTCGCACTCACCCAGGGTGATGGAGCTCAGATAGACAGGCTGCAGAAAGTGGCTGAGCAGAGCCCCTTGCAGACCGAGAACGTTCCAGCGAGCAATCTTATCGCTGCAGGACATGGTACGCAGTCGTTCACCTTGCAGGATGGCATCCCAGGTCTGGTAGTCTGTAGTCAGGTCCACGGGGACCGTGCCTTCGCCTGGAAGAAGGTATGCGGTGTGCTTTCAATGCCACACGGAGCGTGACCACCACTAGTTCCGCGGTTTTCTTGGAATGACGCTCACCTGCTTCCAGCTTTGTTCGCAGGAGCCCCTGGCAGCTCTTGGTGAAGAGTGGGTGATGCTGTTCGCTGTTCTGATCCTGAGTCTTGTTCTTGTCGTCTGGCTTCGTCGTGCTGGAGAAAAAAAAAAAAGCGAACTCTTACCTCGGAACAGCCCCTTGGACTGCAGCAAAGGTCCAATGATACCAAAATGAAGACAGGCGCACACACACAAAAAAGGAAGTTTGCTCAAAGTTCTGCAAAGCTTGACACAGCAAAGCTGGTTTTTTCTCAGCTAATTGTGCTGAATGCGAAGCATGTCCCTACTAAAGGAAGTTTGGTCTCTTGTCTACTCTTATTCTAATATATTAATGTTATTATCACATCATACAATTCACGCGCATCTTCCTTTATTTGGCTTCAGTTCAGTTGTCTTGACCAAAAAAAATAAGCCCTCGATTTGTTGCTCTTACATTACAGGCTGACATTAGGTTTTCGCACTCTAAGGACGAAATTAACTACATTCTTTAAAACCTTCGCTTCAGTGTCACCTTAAAAGGACACTATAAATAGAAAAAATCACTTGGTTCAAATTGACAAAATGCACTCTGAAAACCCCAGTGCTATATGTTTCCCAACCCAAAACACGTTCATTATTAGCAGTAAAATCAAGATTCAAGTTTCATTTTTAAATATTGCACTGGAATCTTTGCATGCGATGTAAAAAACATCAAAATGTATGCAATTACCGTATAGTGCGGAATATAGGTCGAGATTTTTTCCAAAAAATTTCGCTAAAAAGTCACCCCTCGACCTATATACCGGCCCTTGGCATAAACAAAGTGATCGTCTGGCAACAGGGAGTGTCGCATGTTTTTTGGGCATCAGCATCGACATCGCCTCCATGGGCCGACGCCTCTGCCGACGCCATTTTTCTTTTCTTGTTCATTTCGTGTTCGTAGAGAGTGGCGACTTTTACTCTGCGACCAGCTATGAATACCGGGACGCGGCGCCAGTTCACCGCCGCGTTTAAAAGAAAAGTTATAGAATTCGCGGAAGTGAATGGCAACATGGCGGCACAGCGGCAGTTTGGAGTGTCCGAGAAAAGCGTCAGATACTGGCGCAACCAAAAATCCAAACTGTCAGTGTGTAACGCGAGGAAGACGTCGTTTCGCGGTCGCCGAGCTGTGCACCCGGAACTCGAGGACAAAGTGGCGGATTTCGTCCGCGAGTACCGTGCCAAATCCCTTCCCGTGAATGCGGAGCTCATTCGCTCAAAAGCCGTCGAGCTCGCCCGTGAAGCCGGCCTGTCAAAGAAAGACTTCAAGGGATCCATTTATTGGGTCCGTCGCTTTATGCGACGCAAAGGATTTGCGCTTCGACGGCGCACGTCGATATGCCAGAAGCTGCCGGAGATGTACGAGGACAAATTGATAGAGTTTCAACTCTATGTGAACAACCTCCGGCGGCAGCATGGCTACATGCTAGGCCAGATCGGCAACGCCGACGAAACGCCGGTGTGGTTTGACATGCCGTCGTCCACGACTGTTTGTGAACGCGGGGCAAAAGAGGTGAGGCTTTTGTCGACCGGTAGCGAGCATTCGCGCTTCACCGTTATGCTTTGCTGCACGGCCGACGGCAGAAAGTTGCCCCCCTTCATAATCTTCAAGCGGAAGACGATGCCGAAGGAGGCCTTCCCGCGGGATGTCGTCGTCCGCGTCAACGAGAAGGGGTATATGGACGAGGCCCTAATGCGCGAATGGATCCGCACAGTGTGGAACCGGCGGCCCGGAGCCCTCCTGCAGCGCCGGAACATGCTCGTGTTGGATGCATTTCGCGGGCATTTGACAGCATCGGTGAAGGAGAGCCTTCGCGACGGAAGGACGGATCTTGTCGTCATTCCGGGAGGAATGACATCAACACTTCAACCGTTGGACGTCGTCCTCAATAAACCTTTTAAAGACCGTGTGCGTGCGCTGTACACCGAATGGATGGCTGGCGACAACCCGCGGACCCCGACAGGCCGGCTGCGCAGGCCACCTCTCGCGACAGTTTGTGGTTGGGTCTCCGAGGCATGGAGGTCTCTGCCTGAAGAGATGGTGGTGCGCGCATTCAAGAAGTGCTGCATCAGCAACGCTCTCGACGGCACCGAGGACGACATGCTGTGGGAGGCGGCTAGTGACAAGCAGTCGTCGTCGTCGGAGAGCTCCGACAGCTCGGAGGACTGTGAGGACTGACTAAAGTGAAGCAGTGAACGATTCCGCGTTTTTCTTTTTTTTTTTTTGCTGGTCAAGGTAAGGGGGTCGACCTATATTCCGCCTCGACCTATATTCCGCATTATACGGTATGTATTTTCGAGACATTGGCTCGATGAAATTTTTTGAAACTTTACATGTTAGGTTTATGCAACCCGCAGATGACAATGTGCCTCATTTTTATCGATTGGAAGCTATGTAAGACCCAGTTGATGCCTGCAAAAATCAATGACGTCAAGGTGTTTAGTGTGGGAACTGGCACCTCCTCCCACATTTTATTTTCACGCGTTTTCTCGCTTACCAAGCATCGTCTCACAATAAGAGTGGTGTTTTAAGAATTTTGTAATGGTAATTTACTAATAATACGTGAAAAATTGTTTTTCTCGTCAGTGTGTCCCCTTAACATAGTGTAGAAACAAGAGTGAGGATGGGAGGGACGTACTGGGCAAATAGGGCCCCGTCGCCGCAAGGCGCGGTGGAAATGTACAAGTGGAACGAGACATCCGGTTTGATCCGGATGCGCTGACCGTCCTCCGTGGGCTCCAAGATGGCATGCTCCTTCCCCGGCCCGTAGCTCTTGAGCTGCTGGTATAGAAACCTGAAACAACGTGTGTTGCAATTAGTGCCCATCACTGCCTTTAAGAAATTTAAAGAAGGAATGAAAATCCAACTACTCTCTTGATAAACATGCAAATGAGACCCTTCTGATAAGCAGCGCACGGAACGGGAGCGCAGTGGCCAAAAACAGAGAAGGCTCGAATTCACAGGAACACTGAACGTGCCGTTAGTGTCATGCAGACTGGGCTAATAGTATGCTGCAACCGAAAGAAATCTGTTGAGGCTACAGATAATGACTTACTTCCTGTTATCATTGATAACATCAGTAAACTCTAAGGAAAAAAAGACAATTGCAACGAATCTTAGTGGCGGAAATGGCAAGAATGTAACTCTTAGATCAGTAATGTCTGATGCTATCACTTCTACTACGCTCTGCTAATTGCTTCATATTTGTTTATCTGCCCAGAAAACTCTAACGGAAAGACATTAGTTCTATATTTTATACAAGGTCGACTCAAGTTTCAGGTATAAATGATTTAGAAACCCATAACTTATTACTACATGCTGGACTCCTGTGACCGTTTTCCACCTTTCCTATTCCACCTTTCCTATCTCTCCTATCTTCTTGATTTGTCCTCGCTCGCTGGCTCTATACCTTTAATCCTATTCTTTTAATCCCTCCTCACTCCCATCCCTTGTGAGCTACTGTTGAAGTGTCACTCCCTCAAGCAGACTGTTACGGGGCTCACTTTTCTCTTCTTTTCTCTCTTAGAACCACTTAGTATTACAAAGCTCCGGATGCTATTTAACAAGATTTAGCGTCCGTCCGGAATACACAAGCTGACCTCCGCTGCCGGCACAAGCATTGTGAAGCCAAAACTACAATGTATGGGCTGACCTAAGTTTCACTTCGTTTCCCACATAAACATCATGGAGTGCTGATGTTCGCTCACCTGAGGAAGCTCCTCCTTGTTATTACTTCTGCGTGTGAATCGTTCACCACGGTTCCATCCTGGCTTAGTTGTTCACCAGTAATGCATCGGCTCCCTGAATTGCCGACAGGCAAGGAAACAACAAACAATGCAAAACGAATAAAACATGCAGAAGTTTTATGTCTTATCAGCATGAATTAGTGAAGTACACTAGGCTCCCATTAATTTTTTGTCTAATTATCAGAAGATCTCACAAGTATTATTCAGGGTAACATACGAGCTTCTGCTGCATGGTTGAAACATCACAAACAATTGCCAGTAATGTTTTTAGAAATCGGTGATGATACCAGTACTTTGTCAATATGAAATGCATGCACGTGCGTGCAATAAAGGGACAAAATGTGCTAAGTCTCATGAGAGCAGTAGCCCTTTCCCTATTTCAGCTTGCTTGTCTGAATGGCAACAGCATATCGTGCTGAAAGTCAAGCATACAGCACGCAACAGAGTGAAGCCACATCATCTCGTTTCGTTTTTTTTTTTTTCTTTTGTTCTTGTATCAGCATGCAAATGTTCCTGCATGTGGTTTGGCTAGTTTGACGCCTTTGTAGACAGGCCATTGGCCAATGTAAAAACGCCGATGTTCAGCTACAAATATCAACGGTGGCGTAGATATTCAGGCATCAGCAGGCAAATAGTGCTATCTAATCTAACAAAATTTATGCTATCGGCCAGTTTGCATTGAGCAGAATTAAAATGCGTTGAAAATGTAGACAGTGGATTAAAAATTAAAGAATTTGTTATAATTATGTAGAGCCTACAGCATTTTACCTACGACTGTTGGATGTAGCTGAAGTTGAAGTAAAAGCAAAAACACTTGGCATTTACTTACGCACCAGCGAACTTTTTTTTTTGGAGTTGGAGAGATGAAACAGAAGGTAACGAGATCAGTCAACTTGCCAAACTAACAAAGCTAGACATAACTACGAAATAATTCCAACAAATGAGAAGTAATATGCTCATTCTCAAATAAAATTTCTCACAAAGCATTTGTATTTCCGTCATTTTATGAATCGCTTCATACCACGTATCCTCGCCTCATACATACCTCGTGTGCTCAAATTGCGATTTAGTCGTTGTACGAACACAGCTCAAGATGGCGAACCTTCACACAACTTTTCTGTAACTATACACTGTCCTGCCGTGTTTTCTTTTAAATCATAATCGAAAACGCCCGACACTTGCACATGGGGGCATAGGTCAGCAAAACTTGTGGAGCTCACTCAGACTCACTCATTAAATATAATTTGAGCTTCGAACTCCCTCAGACTCAGACTAACTTGTATTTTCCTGAGCTGGACACACTAGGACTCACACTCACGAGCATTACTTTCAGCCAGACTCGCTTGGACTCAAACTCACCAAAACATTACTCACCCGGACTCACTCAAACTCGGACTTACAGTTCGATCCGAGTCTGAGCGAGTTCGACTGAGTAGACTAAGACTAGAATAAGCTTCATAGACTGTAGTGTCAGTGCTTCAACCGCCATATTTCACGTAATCGAAGCTCTTCTTGGTGCCGTTCAACATAGTAACTTCGAAAACAAGTTCCGAGTGCTTCCAAACCAGTAAGGTCCTTTCTTTTTTTTGGAAGAGATAACAGCGTAAGATATAATCATCAAGAAATTCCTTGGGAGAGTTAGTGGCGGAAGGTCAAGGCAAGACCCTAGAAAATTCACGCCTCTATTTGATTAATATTCAAACGCCGTATCAACGACACGGCTTTAAATATATGTGCGAGTAGATGTTAGTATGAACGTGAACCTAGGTAAGGCTGACAGTAATGCTAAAGGTGACTAGAGAGGACCGTAGGTCGGCAAAAGAAAGTGGAACTCGCTCAGACTCACTCAAGAAGCACATCTTACGCTTTGTACTCGCTCAAACTCAGACTCACCAAAGTTTTCCTGACTCACACTTATGCAAATTTTCTCTAACAGGACTGACTCTGACTAACGAAACTCAGACTGACAGCTTGATCTGAGTCCGAGCCAGCCGACTTGTGAGTGAGTTCGCCGACCTAAGCATGGGAGGGTCTCCGATTGGGCAAGCTTGCCACCAAGTGCACCGAAGACTTCCACTCGCGGCAAAGGACGGAGCCACCCACCTGTGCCGAAGCAGACCACGGTGCCCCGGTCGGTGGGTCCGGTCTTCATGACGAGGGCGGCGAGCACTTTGCGGCCGCCCACGTACTCGGGCACCTCCAGCACTTTCTGGCTGAACTCGCGGTGACTGAGGGCAGCAATAATATCAAACATGGGGATGCTCTCATCCTGACTGCTCAGGATGTCCGTCTGCGCCAGAGAAAGAGAGCCAGAGAGCAGATTACCGACGTGTCGAACAACGAGCTCGGCCAGCCCACACAGTACTTCGTAGCTACAGAGAATAAGTTACTAGGCTTGTGCAGTGAATTTCAGGTTCGAAGCGAGTAGTGATTTTGGTCAAATAATTCTGAATCGAATTCAAAAAGTATACATATTGCACATTATGAAGGAGAACAGGCATATTTGTCGTGACATAAGTAAACTAACCTGCATAATATTCAGGTGTGGAAGCGGGTTTTAGTCTTTTGGAGCAGCTTTGGGAGCAGGAATAATAAGGTTTTGGAGCAGCTTTGAAGCAGTAAAAGGGGTGTTTTGGAGCAGCTCTGGAGCAAATTACTTGGGTCACACATCACTGTTAATTACAATTATTGCTTTCTCCTTGCTTTCTCATTAGCACACAAAATTTCAGTGGTTTTTACTAAGCATTCAATGCTAATCAAGTGACCAGATTTACTCCAAAATTATATATATATATATATATATATATATATATATATATATATATTATTTATTTGTATATATATATTAAGCCTTACAACATCACAGCTGAAAGCACAGCAACTCAAAGAAAAACATAAGCGGCGCTTTGGACAGCTGCTGAAGCTGCATAAGCGGACCTCTAAACAGCTACTCAGACAAATAAAAAAATTTAATGTTGAAATGTTGCAAAACACCGCAACCAACATGAACAGCAACTCAAGACTAGACATAAACCAATAGAATAAAAGTTATGTTCATACTAAACCAATAGGGCTCCATAAACATATATGTAAAAAACTCATGTTCTGGTCATTGAAGTGCCACAGCGGACATAAAATCGCGAAGAAATTTAGATAGGCTCACCGTGCGATTGCCAGGTAATTAGGTATTTTTTACGTTGAACCGCCCATATCAATGAATCGATCTCAGTCGCTCGGAGGGCGCACGCGCTAGCATCCCATCGTGTGTTAGAACTGCCGTCGAATGCTCAAGCAGAGACAAAACACACCGCCGGTCTTGAACGAGCATGAAAAAATACGTGGAGGGAAAAGGGGGGTGGAGGGTCCATTGCTCGAGCAGCAGCAATGAGCTTTGATTAGAAGGGCATGGTTGCGATAAGCTGGCACGCGTGTTTCGGCAAACATCAGCACAGGGCACGTAAACCGTTGTACGTGGTGTACTCTCAACGGCAAGAGATTGTGCGGTAAGAACATTTCTCCCCGGAGCGGCCGTACTTTTGCCTTACACCAGCGTTTTGTAGAATGTCACGATGTCGGATCCCAATGAGTTAGCTTTCAGCCTTCATATTGTCACGGGGTCGTGAGGTTCACGAAGGCAGCAGCCGCTGAAAACAGCGGCTGCTGCCACTGAAATTGCCAATGAGATTACGCATTGTACGCGTATACTCATCGCTAGGTTTGAATTGAAAATTATTACGATTGTCCACAGTCATTCGGGCGCGGTGTGCGCAAAGCAGCGTTACACGCGTAATGGTGCGGTAGCAAAAATAAAAAGGAGCCCGTGCAGCATTACCACTACAACTTTACAAATTATTGCTAAACTGATTCTTTTTTTTTTTTTCAGTTTTTAAGGTTCGGATAACAGCTTTGCTGTTAAAACACATATAGAGTCGCATAATGAGGTATGCACACAAACGCCCCTTTAACAAAATGTATCCATGAACCCAAATACGACGTGATCGAACTGATTTGATACGAACGCGGTTGTGTTCTCTGTGTAGCCTACGCGTTTTGCTCGGTCAATAATAAAACTCGACTAAATTTGGTGTTGCACACACAGATTGCAAAGAAAGTGGAAAAAGTTTAGAATAGTGACAGGGTATGACTTACAGGAGAATGCAAGCGTCAGCTTGTAATACATGTTACTTTTTGAAATTAGCTATGCTTGGAACACATAGGTCAGTGTAACAAGCTCTTCAAATTAAAAAACGATTCGTTGTGGGGGTAATATCTTCATTTAACCTTGAAGGCTTCGCAAGATCGCAAAATTGCGAGGTTCTTATTATGTGCTTTCACAGCTTGGCAGCACTACACTGCAGTGAAACCACTTTTGCAGGAGGGTTACGAGCAAACTAATATTCACCTAGATAGATGGTTTCACGACTTAGCACGACCAAAACCACGATATAATTATGAGAGACGCCGTAGTGGAGGGCTCCTGAAATTTCTACCACCTGGGGTTCTTTAACGTGCACCCAAATCTGAGAACGCGGGCCTACAACATTTCCGCCTCCATCGGAAATGGAGCCGCCACAGCCTAGATTCGATCCTGCGACCTGAGGGTCACAGGATCGAATCCCGCAGCACCACCGCGGCGGGCCTTAGCATCACTTTAATGCAGTGAAACCAGCTTTACAGGGTGTCACATGTGAACTGATATGCACCTATTAATTCGTTTCAAATAGTTCAAAATTTTCAATAACTTAAATTCGGTTCGAAGCGAGTTTTAATACTGCATTATTTGTTCCAATATTCACACAAGCCTACAAAATACACATAGCCTTCTTTAGGGTCGTGAAATGTTTTGATAAGCTCGACTTACAACAGCAGACACTTGGAAAAAGCATAGCGAAAAGCGGCTTGCTCCTTTGGTAACAAAGCCGAGGCTACAGTATGCACTGCTAGATTTGGCTAAGGTATGCAAGCGTAAAACAATATTCAGTCAAACTGAAAAATTATTACTTTAGAACTCTGCTCTCTCTAATTTTGTGGTCGCAGTTTCATTACAAGAAAAAAAAGAAAGTGGTAGTTTCGTTTACAAGTTTCAGGCCACAACCTGAATGCCTGATTGACAAGCGAGACATCATGGACATCTAAGATTACTTCTGTATTTTGCCCGAAGTGGCTGACTAGCACATTTCCCCAAACCTGCCATATTAGGACTCTCCTTATCTCACAATGCAATGTAATTAATTTACACAACCATGAGGTGGTGTCCCCACCCATATCTTTTTGCACATTTCAGACTCAACGAGTGCCTCGTTAGTGTTCCTTTTAGAAATATGCAAAACATTGCATGAGCAGGGGTTGTGTTGAAAAGAGAAGTGAGAACACGAGTGAGCAGGGGTCATACACACTCCTGAGATAAGAAGCCTTATAGCATCTTCAACGAATCGTAACCAGGGCGTGCCAGGGTGGGATGATAACTGAAAAAAATGCTGTATTAGAGCACCCCCAGTGTAATTTGTTGAAGTTGCGATTAGTTTCAGCTGTCTGGCACATTAGGGGAAGGGCGAGGAAGACGACGACACAAGAGGCATCTTCCTTTCATGGCAGACAAGAGGGGGAATACAAGAAGAGCATCGTCAGTCACCTCTGGGGAGGGGACGTCGGAGGCGAGGGCACCACTTGCCACCAGCTTACGGAAGGCGAGTTCGGCTGCCTGGTGCTTGGCCTCCTTCTTGGTCTTGTCCCAGGCCTCGGCCACAGGTTTCTTGTCCAGAAATGCAACTGCTTTGAACCTGCCAAAAAAAAAAAGAAACAACAGGGCTCAACTCTAGAATGGGTTCGTTTGGTAGCGCAGTGCTTTCCAGATTTAACACCTAGTTGTTAACGAAAGCATCCCTCATGCCTCAGCGGCATGAACTACCGAAGCTGCTTTGGCCTTGTTTCCTGAAATTGAGCAGCACAGACATTTGGGCAGGTTGGTATGGTCCTACAATGCGACAAAGGTAGCGCTAGCCCTGTCAGATATTTCTTCCATCTTTGCTAACGTTATGCTATCTTCATTGCCCCACATAATGTTGAAATGCGAGTGGAAAGGCTGCCCATTGCTTGTTCAGTGTTCACAAAGAAGCCCACAACAGGACTGGCAACTGTATGCTTCTCGAGTTATTTCCAACATGAACCAACTGCTTTGCTCCATCAAGTCCAATAAATGTTTTTTCCCTTTGTGAATGCTGTATTTGTTATTCCGTTGAGCCCATATTGAGCCCATATTTTTTTTTTTTCAGGCTTTGGAATTTCGGATGTCTGCTTATAATCGCGTGCGGCCTATATTCGAGCAAATAAGGCAATACACAGCAAAATAGCAGATAGCGAATTTACCAAATTTCGATTCCAACGTGCACCCAGTTTGCATGACCCAAAAATAATAACACCACAAGCCCCAATTCACACACACCTATTTACCTAGACAGAAAAAAGAAGTAAAAATAATGAATTGTTCACCACTAATCTAACGTGCACGTGCTTTGAACATATGAACAAAATTTGCAAATAGCATTTTGTTTCACAGAATATGACAGAATCTAAGGAAATGTTGTTTAGGTGGTAGGTGTTATGATTTGAGTTAGTTTTAAATATGTGCATTGTTTTACACTTCATATTATTAAGTTCCATTAACAAGTTATTCCAACAGTTAGCTATATTATTTAAGACAGCTTAAGTGTTTTCGTATAATCAGCATTGGTAATTTTGTGGTAGATAACACAGTCATCTAACACAGTCATCTACTAGACTAGACTAGACTTCAAGAGAGTGTAGACATCGTGGAAAGCACTCTCGGCAAAATGGGGCTAAATAGTTTAGCGGCGAAGTCAGAACTTTTGGTTATAAAAAATTGAGGTAGAGGTCGAAGACGCAAGGGCTATGTCCATGGTGAGGAACCCAAGATTATCTTGCGCTGTCGGGATGGATCCGCGATCAAGCAGGTCGAAAAAATTAAAGTTCTAGGCTTTTACATAGAAGCGGGAGGTAGCAACCTCACTGCCATTCAGCATATTTCCAAAAAAACTGACCAAGTACTCAGACTTCTAAAGAGAATCACCAACCGACACAGGGGCCTTGGTGAGGACAGCGCTCTAAGGCTACTACACGCTACTACACGCCTTCGCTCTCTGTCACTTCACCTACGTGGCAGGTCTCCTCCAATGGTCGCAGGCCAAGCTGAACAAGCTCAACACCATTATCAGAAAGTTAGTCAAGGCTGCCCTAGGTATACCCAAAGTGGGTTGTACGAGAAACTCATGAGCTTAGGCGTGCACAATACTATGCAAGAAATGGCTGAAGCGCAACAGACGGTGCAGCAGGAAAGACTAACGAGGACACGTGCGGGTAGGGCAATCGAATCAGTTCCGAATAGATCGAAGAACCTGAAGGAGGTTGGGGTCGAACTGAAGGCGAAGCTTAGAAACATGATCAGAACCACTCCCCTGCCGAGAAACATGCATCCGGAACACAATGTCAGCAGGTGAAAAGCGAGAGTGAAAGCTTTGTTGAAAGAAATCGAACAGGTAGTACAACAGGCGGCCGTCGTGGACGCAGCCTGGGTGAAAGGCCAAGAGGCCTACACGGCTGTGGTGGTCAACAGCCAGGGAGAGGTACGAAACGCCCTGACTATACTCACTAAGGATTTCACGGTTGCGGAACAAGCCGCGATTGCTGTAGCTATCAGGAATAGAAAATGGTCATACGTCTATAGCGACTCCAAAGCAGCAATTACGAGCTTCGAAAGGGCTTCGTCGCTGGGACTGTGGTTAAACTTATGAACAAAGTCAATCCTATCGATACTGAAATTCGATGGTTTCCTGCACATATAGGACAAGTGGACGAAACTCGGGTCAACCTCAATGAGCTGACGAATGACCTGACACGTGGACTCACTTGCCGTGCCGGTCACACCCGATCCGACGCCCACTACCATTCCGGGGGCTATAAAGATAACTTAGTCACTTACAACGACATCACAAAATATCATTACTTGGGGCGTAGGCAATTCCCACTGCCACATGCGAAATTGAACAAGGCTCAGGCAGTCACGCTACGCTTACTGTAAACCGGAACTGACCCCAATCTGTATTTTCTATATAAAATTCTCCCTGACAATAAAATTTAAGACAAGTGTGACGCGTGCGATGGCATCTTTGGGATTTGACACATGCTGGCGGGCTGTCCGCGACTCTCGCCGACCCAGAAGAACAATAGCTTTACTGACAGACGATGGTGCGAAGCGCGTCTTATCAAGACCAACTACGGGCAGTCCAGAAGGTCCACGATGACGCCACAAGGCTCGGCCTGACGGTACCGATGTGGGACGCGGCCCGCTCAGTCTGAAAAGACCGGGCTTCAGGACACAAATAAAGTTTTGTGAATGAATGAATTAGTGAAAGAAGCAAGCTGTGTTTAGCAGGGGTACGATTTGCCAAAGCGACGTTGCGCATCACCAGAGTATGAGTTAGGCTCTAGAAAATTAGGGAGATTCTTGAAGATGACATTAGCTAATATTTTGTAACAATTACTTGTTAGTGACAAGGGCGGGTAATGAAGAGGTGAATTTCTGGGGCTGGATTAGACATTGAAAGCACCTTCACTATGTTCGATTCCTTTGGAAGTTAATTGTTTGAAGATTTTGGCTAGTATCATAGAACTACTAAGTTAGTGCTTTCAAGAAATTTGCTATTAAGGGGGGAGGCTACCATGGAAGGGCAACTTTCCGGTTTGCGGTTTGTCGAGACGTCCTAATAAAATTTTCAGGGTAGGCTAACAATAAAGCCATTTGAATAACCACGAAATTTCATGCATTTAGGTTCACTGATTCTCAAGTTACAGCCATTTAACAGGATAGTCCACATAGGTTTCTTAGTCAGGCTCTGGTGAATTTAGTAAATGTGCTAGCACCGTGAAATTCACTGTGATGATTCCTGGATAGGTGCTTTACACTGGGAACCAGCCCTTTCTTTTTATTTCCTTGCAGAAAGTTTTTAGCAGAGCACTGGATTTATTGTTTGCCATTGAGCTTTCATCAATAAAATTTTAAATCACAAATTAGCAGACAATATAAAAAGCAGCTGTCACTGTGTGGGCTATTTATTAGGGTACAAAATAAAACAAATCTGATAAAATCAGATCAACGGCTACAGAGATATCACCAGACTAAACAGCCTCACTGGCCAAAAAAGTCGGTCTAAGAAAACGGACTTCAAAAGTTTTGAACACATATTTTGGCCTAAAACGACCTTGCACAGTAGCTAGAGGTGTCCTTTCGAACTCTCTTCTTTTGCCGCTTTTCCTGCTTGTGTTGCATCTGTTTTTGAGCCTTTTTCAGACAGAGAGGGTCTTTTTCTGCAGCCCGTTGGTTGGTTAGCTGGCCAAGTGTGAGCCCTACCGATGACAACTCTTGGGTGGCCCTGTAGCAGCCGGCGTTGTACCTGAAAACTCTGCCCTTTCCCTATTTGTTTCACATCATAATAGCCCCTGTATTCACGTTACTCATTCTGGCGAGTAGAAATCCACGAGCTCGAAACTATTCCACAGTGTTTACATAATAGCTGAAGCTTCGTAGCAAGTCCAAGCTGGGTGCCTGTTTGAAACTTCACCCCAGTCGCGAGACAGCGCGGGCACAGGGTTTTGGACAAAAGGTCACTAAGGCATTCCCTTGCACGAGGAAATATTTCTCAGCCAAGTCATAGCGGCGGCATCCTCAGGTTCAGGCATCATCTGAAACTTCCTCTCAGTCGCCGGCACAGTGCCGAGATTTTGTTGCACAGCAGCATGTTTGCTGTCCTCCGCGGCTAAATCCTCGCAAGTCTGAAAACATGTCCGCAAATACACAGTCGACGACGCGGTTGCACTGTTTGGGGCCGTAATCACTGCGGTAGCGAGCGCAACGCATCAGGCGCACTTGTGCATGAAACACCAACACCAGCCTCAGTTGTGACGACAAGGTCTTGTATCGATGATGTAGCCACCTCGACAGTCGCGATAACCGTCAATGCAGTCGTTGTCTTGCATAGATGAAGCAGGAACTGCTCCCCCGGAAGCATCGATGCCATAGTCGCGCATTGCCGCGTGAACGAGCTGTGCCATACGTACGAGCTTCATCTGACGCTTTCTTGAACCGTACGTGTATAGAGTCCCGAACTTTGTTTTGGCCAAGGTGATTGTCAGTGCAACAATTGGTCTCCCGTGAACACGACGAAAGATCGTCTCGTAAAGACGGTAGAATATAGTCTCGTAAATACGGTGAAAGATTGAAAGCACGTGCGAGAACCGAGCGAGATGATGGCGAAAGGGACAAACAAAACACACCGGCCTTGCAAGCGCCAGAGCAGACAGCGAGCCGGCAAAACAGATGCGTCATCGCGCGCAGCAGCCAATAGTAGCCGCGTGATCATCCACCCCCTAGAAAGGCGCACACTTCCTCCAATCACGACTTCGCATCCAAGACGCGGAAGACTTCAAAACTTTGAGAGCCCCCAATCGTGAGCGATTCCCGCCTCGACCATGCCACTGCTGCTGCCGCGGGTGGTGAAAAAAAAACAACAAACAAGCAAGAATTAACGAGCAAAACAAGGCCAAGACGGTGGAGCTGGGCCGCGTGGTTGGGAAATTGATAACACGCCTGCGTAGGGGTATTTTCGGCGCTCGGTGGCCATTCGCTGGCTGCCGCGGCATGTTATATAATTTATCTGATGTACCTTCGTGATAAATTAGACAATGTTATTTATAGAATAGATAGTTTATAGCCATACTACCTGAATATGTTGTTTTCAAAAAATTGACTTTTTCGTGATTTTTCGGTTTTCACAAGGGCGCGTCCCCCCTTTTAATGCCGTCATAGCGAGGAAGCAGAGTGGAATGGTAAGTTATCTATTAGCTTCAAGATTCCAAGTATCACGATAATCACGGAATCCATTGGCATGTCCAGTAATTATATTGGTGCGCGTAATGAAGTTTGATGCTACCGGATTCAGAGAACTGCCTTGTAAATGTATCATTAATAACTGGTGCGCACATGTTATCGGGGGTACTGCTTCCAGATGAATCTTCTAGTGATATAGTGTTCTTAGTGGTTGGATTAATCATTTGGCTAAACTTCCTATGGTTATTTTCGCATCGCATATATTGATAATAGATAAGAGGGCACGTTTATTGAGAACACTTCTGGCATTACCAAAGAGTACAGATAGCGGGCACGGAAACAGGGTGCTTTGCATGACTCCTAACCATCGTTTTTCATCATGCCGAATCTGCTAACACTCCTGATTGCGTGGCCGTCGACGCGTGTGTTCATGGGATATCGCCATAAAGCTGCCGTCCCGGCACAGACCGGAATGACAGAAGTGGCGACGAAAATTTCTACAATTTTGTTGAGACCGACAAATTCTTCTTCAGGCTTCCAGCCGCATCGACTTCGCCAACATCTCCTGTGGTCCATTTAGGCAAACGGCGCATCGACTTGCGCCGCTTGTGCAATATGAACATATTTCACAACTAACACACTCTCTCATAATGCTGCAGGGATAAAAACTGCAGATAATGATGATTAATGCATTTCTTACTGCTCCAAAGCACATCTGAAATTGAGAATCCTACTTAGAATCCCACGAATGCACAAGGACTACGATCACAAAACCATCAGCTATTCTCAAGTGCCATCCCTTTTCAGCCATCTCTCTTCATTGAACATAGATTAGCTACACGATTAGACCGCAATAAGAGAACTGGCATGTATTTAATTATCTCAGGGTCACAGCAATGTCGCTGGTTGCTCTGACTGCCAGTTATGCTTTTACACATCAGTGATTATAATGGCAGACATTATAGTGTGGTGCCTTAATGCCTGCAATTAAGGGACAAAATGTACTGGGGCCCTAGACAACTACTAGCTGCTTCCCAATCTTGGTATACTTTTTCGTATGACAGTGGTGTACTGCAGCAAAAGTTACTTTAAAAAGTATTCCACACAGCAGATCACGGCCAGCAAGTTTTCAATTTTGCCCTTCGTGCTCTTCTCCTTTTTTTTTTTAAGGAATCTAGTCTTGACTTTTTCTTTTTCTAACTTAAGACTATGCTTGTGCGATCAGGAGATCTGCTCTAAAATCACAAGTCCTGCCAGGCAAATTGGGGCAGTTAGCAGGTACAATACCAGACATGCCACACACCTTGGGTTGTGGGGCGGGCCATCCGTTGCCACGATGTCTATTTTGGCCTCGACGTGCTGCATCTGGCCAAACTCGTGGAACGCAGCTCACGGGGTTTTTGGTCAGGGACGCGTAGCTGGGGAACTTGGAAATGCTTTGTGGCCCCGGAGGATTTGATGGCGGTGCTGGTGTGGGCGCAGCCACGGGTGCCTCTTCCCGCGTGGGCCCGTTGGTGCCGGCATCGCTGCCGTTGCTGCTCTGCTGCAGCTGCTGCTGCTGCTGCTGTTGCTGCCCGTAGCTAACCTCTAGCGACTGCGACACCACAGACTGGGTGATCTTGAGGTTGGCTGCCGCGGCCGCCACGGAGGCTGGCGTAGCCTGCGGTGGCATGACCCCGCCATTGGCCGCTGCCATGCCAGCCGCCGCAGCGGCGGCCTGTTGCTGCATCATCATCTGCGCAAAGGTGTTGCTCAGCCGCAGCAGTTCGTGGGGAGGGAGGGGCTGCCTGGCAGGTTTCGGGGGTCCCTTGGGTCCTCCCCGCGGACCGCCTACCCCGTTGGGCCCGGCGGCGACCATGTTTTCGTCGTCGCCGCCAAAGTCCGGCGGAGCGCCGGCGTCGCGGGGCGACGCCTGCTGCTTGCTGGCTGCCGCAGCTGCCGCGGCGGCTGCAAAGAGGTTGTTCCTTTCTAGGTCGCCGTAGCTGCCTGGCACGAGAGTCCAGGCCGGCGGCGTGTCCCACACCTTTGTGAGGACGCCCCGGTCTTGGAGCCGGTACAAAATGGGGTTAACCTCGCGCTTGTGCTTCAGGCCCAGGGCCTTGACCATGTCCTTGGTGTACACGGGCGTGCCAATGGTGCGCAGGTGCGAAATGACCAGCGCCGTCAGGTCCGTCTGCAAGATGTTGTTGGAGGCCGCTGCCGCTGCGGCGGGAGGACCCGCCGCCGGCTGCTGTGCCACCGCCAGCGCCGCCGCATTGTTGGCGGTCGTGACGGCAACACTGTTGGGGGCCACCGGCAACAGGGAGTTGGCGCACGGGACGAGCGAGTTGTTGGGCACCGGCGCGACCAGAGCAGAGCCCAGTGGGGACTGCTGTGGCTGTTGTGGCGACTGCTGCTGCGGTGGAAGAGGTGCGCCGCCCAGCTGCTGAGGAGCCAGGGACGGAGGCGCCGCGAACCTGCCACCTCCGCGGGTGACCACCAGGTTGGGAGGTAGGTTGGGAGGAGGCGAGCTCTCGGGCAGCCGCACCGGCCCCTGTTGCTGCTCATCCTCATTGACCAGCACGTCTGAGAGAGCAGAGCAAGGAGGCGTGTCACAGTGAGCGGTACGTGTAGTGTTTGCTAAGCACAGCAGTATTTGTGACAGGCCAAAAATGTCTCCATAACGAAATATGTGTACATGTGCCAGGAATCACCTCACATCATTTTACCTCCCCTGCCAATCGAGCCCAATGTTTGCCTTGCTCAAGTACTACAGTGCGATCTAAGAATGGCGACAGTTCATGTCAGGTAAACTGACTATATACACGAAGTTTGCCCAAGATCAGGTTCAGATTTCGTCGCGTACATTTTCAACTATTCATGAAAGTGGGTTTCAGGGCACTTAAGGCCAGATTATCTTTCACTGGCAAATATTGAAGGAGTACCTCCATCACTATTCAAACCCTTCTTTTTTACTCATAGGCTCCATCGACTGCACTATGAAATGATTAGTGCAGCAAGAATGAAAGTGACAGCGGCACTGCCTAAGTACGAGATTATTCAATTTAGAAAATTTTAAAAATACAGAAAGAACTCGACGCTCAACTTGATCTTCACAGGGTCACATAACTACATTTCACTCGCCCTGTGACGTTGGATCTTGGAGCTCCAATGAAATAAGCTGGAAGCTTCTACATGAAGTAAGCTTGCACACCGTTGTTGCTTGTCCTTTCGAACATATTGTTGATGCCGTTGCCACAGTAACAGACATGGTGGCTGATTTGACAGAACTTGAGACGGCACTGCTGTTCTGAAGTGAGGTATTGTGTTGCTGTTCCCTTCATCAACAATCCATATAACTCTCTCTTCAACTCCCTCTACTCCTTTCTGAGAACGGAATTTATGGAACTGGCCTTACACGAGCTGTTTGGTGAACCACCCGACAATATGCAAGAGTGCAGCGATGTTCATTTAACGAAGGGGATTACTTGCACCGCTTTAACAACAATCAAGAGCCTACCACACGCGCAAAAAAGGGCAGCTCACAAATGCATAGATGCAAGAAGAGGAAAGAGGGAGAAGCCTTTTGTATGCACATACAACCCACGCAAGCAAGAAAATTCTGAGGCGAAATGGTAGCCGGGGCCTCACTCGTGCTTTGCAGTCGTGTTTTTTTTTTTTGCCATGTCCTTTACTTGGAGTTCAATGAAAAAGCACAGCAAAACACCAGCAATCTCAGTTTTCATACTCCACCGTGACCTCTGCTAACGTTACATTTATCCAATCGAAAGACTTAGTCCTTCATTGTCATTTTCACTTGTAATAGTCCAGGCGAGCGCCACTACGTGCCGATACAATCGGCAGCGATGTAGGGACCTTACTACATGATTAAAACACTAAATCATTTGATATTTGTGCTTCGACCTATGCTAAATTATCCCTAGCCGTTAGTATACACAAAGCACAAATAAAAAATAGCTGCTTTCAAATGGTAGAGGAGAAGGCCCCTTTAAAGGGCCCTTAAAACACCCAGAGGCCGACGCGTACATGTGGCGTTACAATTGTGTACGAGTATGCAGTGAACGCTGGTGGAGTTCCGCGTGTTTTCTTGTTTTGCTTTTCAGTTCACTAGGCTGCGTTCATCGGCTTGTTTGACCACCTGTCTTGTGCCCTTCCTCAGCCTCCGAGATGAAAATTCAATAAATGCGTGCTTCTGATCGCAGAAAATAGGCTATTTTTTTTTTTCGCCCAATGACAGCATCTCTTGTACACAGAGTCACCTAATGATACAGTTGATGTCATGCCAGCTGTTCTCAATAGAGGAAAGGTACGAAGATGAGCACACGAGCTTCCGTAGGTGGTTTAGGGGCCCTTTAAAGGGACATCATAGTCAAATAACAATTTACATGAGAGTGAAAGCTCAATGTACAATGTCAAAATGACACTATTTATCAACTAGCAGTGCCCTATTTACCGAGAAATTAGGTAAATGCAGGTGAACGGGTGCACTACGATTAAACCTTCTCAAAATGATCTTGGCGACAGTTGAACCGCCTACAATTAATTACTAGTAATCGAACTAGCTGCACTAAATAAAGAACTGTCCGTGCATCAAGAGACGCAATAAAATACTGCTTGATTGTTTCTGATTCATCCATGAAAAAAGAACCTGCCGAATGTTACTATGAGGAATGGCGCGAGTGGTTCAAAAATTCAATTTTTGCCTGGTTACACTGGACAGGTCCTGCCATCTAGTGGGGCCTAGTTGAACCAAAACATGTCTGTAATCTCAGAGTCAATGACAGGAAACTGATGAATGGCCTTTGTTTCCGCTGTGGAACCCGCTGCTATCAGCGGCCATGCACTAAAGCCGGGCAATGTTGTGCACGGCAACAGTGACGCGAGACGGTCCGGCAGGTAATTAGAAGTGCGCTAACACGACGCGCACCACTAAAACGTGATTTTATTTCAAAATAAGCGTTGTTTAACATGAAAGTAACCCTACGAGGTTTTTGGACTGCTATTTCAATTAAATGTTGCTTTCAGTGTCCCGTTTACGGTATGGGACTAACTGCTAGAAATTTTTTTAAAAAGCGATAAGCACTAGAGATTATTGATTGATTGATACGTGGGGTTTAACGTCCCAAAACCACCATATGATTTGAGAGACGCCGTATTGGAGGGCTCCGAAAATTTCGACCACCTGAGGTTCTTTAACGTGCACCCAAATCTGTACACATGGGCCTACAACATTTCCGCCTCCATTGGAAATGCAGCCGCCGCAGCCGGGACTCGATCCCGCGACCTGCGGGTCAGCAGCCGAGTACCTTAGCCACTAGACCACCGCCGAAGGGCCACTAGAGATTATTGGTCTGCATTAAAAAAGCACAGTTTTTTTTGGCACACGTGAGCATTGTAAAGGAAGTCCTAGTTTTGTTATTTTTCATAACTAAAGATTTCATTAAAAAAGGGCTTTAAAAAAAACACTGCTTCCTCGATTCGACTCCTTAAAAAGCTAAATATTTTGTAGGGGCATGACAGATGCTTTAGCCAGTGCAATAAACCAAAACAAATGAAATCAGATAAATATATTTAATATAGTGATTAAATAACCAAGAAACGTCAGCTAGCATCAGGGGCACTTCCATACAAACAGGCAGCCTACTAAATCTTGTGGCATGATTTCGCTTATTGAGCTTCACTGCATGCTCCCTAATGTGATAAGTAGAGACCAGAACATTAGGCAAAAGATTGTTTTAGGTGCCTACAATAGGCTCTAAAAACTGCCATTTAGGTAGAAATTGGCATTAAAAACTATTCTTTAGGCATATATAGGCACAATTCATAATTACTTCAGTAGCGTGCTCAAGACAAATATTCAACTTATAACAAACACAGGCAAATTCTGTGCTTTAGGAAAGCTATATTTATATTTTACATAAAAAGTAATAGCATAAAAAGAAACCAATCATTTGAACTGATTTAGGTGAAAGCTGAGGTAATTTACCCTTCTGGGAAAGGCTATGAAAACCGTGACAAACTTTCATCTCAAGGTTTTTCGGACCATGAATTGTGCATGGTTTCAGTCAGTAATTGCTTTTATGCGAAAAAGAATGCTCGACGTCCACTGAAGTGAGTGAAGTGTACTCATGGCCTAGCACTTTGAATGCTTGAATTGCATCCAGGATATTTGAATTAGCACCACTCGAAACTTTAGACACTTGCGTATAGCACATAAAATCTGGGATTCTTTTCAAGGCAGATTCAAGCTTTGAGGCAACTCTGTCAGGGACGGGTCTATTGGGGACGAGGCGAACCTCTCCTGTACGTCCGAAAAAAAAAAAAAAAAGGGCATCCTTTAGCTTTTTCTTTAAGCGTTGAACGCGATAGCGATCCTGCCCCTGATGCATAATTCCTTCACTTAGTACATACCTTTATTGCAAATGTTACTTGACAAGTTTAAATTGTTGATTACTATACAGTATAAACGATAAAGTTGAAAGTGGCTTGTGTCAGTGTAGCTTCCACATATGGCTGCATTTCTGTGTAATAGGTGCATGCGAGTTCACAGATGTGGATATAAAAATAACAAAATGAATTTGTGTGCCCGAGGAATGACCTTAAGGTACATGTTATTTGCGCGAATTCAGGGGTTATTTAAATAAATTGGCAGTTGCATAACCAATTTTGGAAGCGTTATGCCTATGCGTGCGTCAGAGTGGACATCAAACTTAAAATATTGTTGCCTTTTCCAATTTCTTCTCCCCGGTTGCTCACATGGACTGTTTCTCGATAAAAGGAGTAGCGCTGTGATCCACTGGTCCATTGCCTCAGAAGGTCATTTTACGGCTTCTCTTGATTCCGCATCGCTCGGCAGACAAGTTGTTATGAAAAACATAAATGCCAACAAAACTTGCGTGTAGGCTGTAGTCAGCAGCGCTAGGCTAGCTTAGCTTCGCCTGATTAGCATGCATTCTAGATACACTGTACTCTACCCTCCCAAACGCTACCGCCGAGCTGCACTACTCTCGAACCTAGCAACGGGGATCTTCAAGGGGCAGTGGATACACTAGCGTTAGCCTCTCCTCGCTTCGCTACAGTACACTCTTGCTATGCTGACACAACCATGATGCACTACTCTCGAACCAAGAGATTGAAATCTTTCAGGGGGGCCTGCTAGCGCTATAGGTGCTAGCCTCGCTTTTCCTCGCTGGGGTACTAGCCCGGCTCACGTAAAAGCGCGTTTAATGGTGCATTTAGACAATGGACCAAATCCGGATTTGTCGTGGACGCGGACGGCTAATCCACAGATGATCCGCCTACAGGCGCATCCACACGACGGACAGTGTCCTAGGAGTAAACAGCCGGATTACCCTCGATAGCATATTCGCCGCTCACCTGCGCCTGCTGACAGCAGACCGGTTTAAGAGTATTTAACATAAATGCCCGCAAGAAGCGACGCTTGGCTGCTGATGTCTGTCGCATTGTGAGAAATGAACGAGGAGTGTTATTCATTCAGAAGAAAGGGTAGTTGCTGGCAGAATGTCTTTCAACTAGATTGTACCCCACTTGTAGAACTTCTCAAC